GCTTGTGCCAAGTTGATACTCCTGTAGTGTGTGACAAATTGTTACAGTAGTTATTACTGTTACATGTTATTACATGTAACTTTTTCTTAAACTTTTTTAAACACTTCAAATGTTTCAAAAGCCTGCTCAAGGGTAAGAAATTATATTTCCTATTTAATCCCTATTGGTAATTTATAGGATAGAACCCTTTGAACAAACTGAAAGTCTCCATATAACACCTTTTTGAAAATAAGTGTGTTTTTAAGTTAACCAAAATGGTACATTTACCATAGAAAATTGAAAGCAGTACAAGCTCATTTTACATTAAACTATTTCTCCCTTGTTCTGGTTATAAGTATAAGCCCCAAGATACTATTAAAAGAAATGACTCAACTTGTTTACCTGAAGTTTGAATATAGAGTATTTGTGACAAAATTGCTATGCTTGACAAGAACAGTCTCTAGAGTGGCCTCTGGACCAATCAAGAGTGATTTTGTTCCCAGAAGACATACATTAATGTCTGAAGAACTTGGGGCTATCACAATTTGGTACTGTTATACTGGCATCTAGTGGGTATAGCCCAGAGATGTTGCTAATGCATAGAAAAAGCTTCTCACAGGAAGGAAATATCCAGCTCAAAATGTTAATATATTGCTACTCAGAAACCCTGCCTCTGTATACAGATAAAAAATAATCCTAAAGAAAATTACAGTTCCTTTGCTACTGTAGAAATATCAGAGTGAAATTTCTGGGCTTTTGAATGTAAAAGTAATTTCAAGGAGGAAAAATATCTCTACAAAGCTTTTGCTATGATTTCAAAACTGTATTCAATTTTTTTATGTAACTGCAAATATGGCACATGCTTCAAAAAAATAAAGAAACCTCAAAAAAAAGCTATGCTTTTCTAATTTGATCTCTAAAGTAAATATAATAAACCTGTACATAAGCATACATGAACATATAGGCCTAGAAAATTTGCTGAAAGAGAAAATTTAATATTAGCTATCTTGAGGAGTAAGAGATGAAGGGTTGGTCGAGACAAGGACTTTCACTTTCTGTCTTATCTCTACCATCTATTTTCAATTTTTCACCATGATGCTGTACTAGTTTTATAATAATTTTTAAAGGAGAGATATGGGGGGGGGGAAGATGGGAAAGGATGGTAAAGGGAAACAAGAAGGAAACAATGCTTGATAATAAGGTAATGTACTCATTACCTTGCTCATGTAATTGTAACCCCTCTGTACAGTATTTTCACAATTAAAAAATAAATAAAAAAGGAAAAAAAATAATTTTAAAGTATTACACAAATACACCATATACTATATGCATACTTACATACAGAAAAAATTTTAATTATAAATCTCACAATGTCTTTTCTTCCAACTTGCTTTAAAAAAAAGGCAATTCTAAAATTAACATTTAAATACTGGAGTGTGGATTTTTTTTTTTAAATAATGGGTATATTTCAATATGACCTAATTCAAATTCTCTTTTTTTTTTGGTGGGGGGGCCGTCATGGTACTTGAACTCTGGGCCTGGGCGCACTGTCCCTCAGCTCTTCAGCTCAAGGTTAACACTCTACCACTTGAGCCACAGCATCCACTTCCTGCCTTTTCTGTTTATGTGGGGCTGAGGAATCGAACCCAGCACCTCATGCATGCAAGGCAAGCACTCTACCACTGAACCACCTTCCCAGCCCCAAGTTCTAACTCTTGTATTCAAAAATCATGCTCAGTATGCCTGAAGAAATTCAAAACAGATATTTATCCCAATGTTTAAAACAACAGGGATCAAATGATGGCATTCCCTAAGATGGCATATATCTAGTATACTTATTTAACTGTGCTAATACAAGTAAATGTCTTTCTCAAATTAAAAGGTGTTTTGGCTTGACCAGCAAAGGAATGTACTAAGTCTATACATTTCTTATTCGTTGTTCTCCTTATCCTGCTCCTTTGAGAAGAAGAGAATCTTCACTTTAAAACTACAACCAAGGGCCAGGCGCTGGTGGCTCAGGCCTGTAATCCTAGCTACTCAGGAGGCTGAGATCTGAGGATCGCGGTTCAAAGCCAGCCCGGGCAGGAGAGACCGTGAGACTCCTATCTCCAAGAAACCACCAGAAAACCGGAAGTGGCCCTGTAGCTCAATGGTAGAGCGCTCGCCTTGAGCTGAAGAGCTGAGGGACAGCGCCCAGGCCCAGAGTTCAAGCCCCATGACCGACAAAAAAAAATCTCACACAGCCGGGGCTGGGAAGGTGACTCAGTGGTAGAGCACTTGCCTTGCATGCATGAGGCCCTGGGTTCGATTCCTCAGCAACACGTAAGCAGAAAAAAAAAAAAAAGCCAGAAGTGCCACTGTGGCTCAAGTGGTAGAGCGCTAGCCTTGAGCTGAAGAGCTGAGGGACAGCGCCCAGGCCCAGCGTTCAGGCCCCATGACCCGACCCAAAAACAAACAAAAAAAAAAACTACAATCAATTCATCTTTGTTAGTGTCTACATACTTAGTTCTAAAATATTTAGGAAAGATACAAATTAAGACTTCAGTATTATTCATCAAATGCCAGTAAAGCTTTTTTTAAGGAGCATTATTTAAAACCTGTCACACTGGAAATTCAAAAACAGTAGTATGGGAGAAGATAGTTCCACAGGGAAGAAATCAGAAAAGGTAAAGAATTTACTTCGCCAAAACAGATCAATTCACTCAAAAAGGCACAGACTATATATCTACCATGTGTACTCCATAGCAGAGAATTTTTTTCCCTATGTGAAATAGAAGAAACAGGACACAAAGCAATTTTTTCCCTCTATAGATTACGAATCTATACAGAATAAGAAATGACAGCAAGGAAGTTTTTTAGGTATCTTAGAAATCTTCATTCCAAAAGCCAAATTAAAAAAATAAAAATAAAAACAGGTTGGAAGTGTGGCTCAAGGAGCATAAGCCACGGAGGTGCTAGGCTCTGAATTCAAACCCCAGTACAAAAAAAGCAAACAAAAACCAAAGCAAAATCCTCAATACACTTAATACCAGGATCCTTTTTTGGTACAAAAAATGTAAGCAAACTAAAATATAAGGTTAAATACTAAATGGATGTAAGAACAAATACACCCATTTGGGTGTAAGAACAAAGAACACATGACTACTACAATAAACTTGAAAAATGACCACAAAAGGGATATATTGTGCCCATAGTTTTACCCATTATACCCATATAGTCTAATGATTCCAAATAATGAGACAGAGACACAGACCAAGAGAGAGGGAAAAAGAGAGATTTGACTTTTTATTTTAGAGACACATTAGCACTGTACTTCTAAAAAAAACGTAAATACTACTTATATATGTCTCACCCATGACAATTATGTAAAATGGCTCTCCCCCAAATCAAGGGGACTCCCTTTTCACCTTTAGACCAAGGCAAACCTTTTCACTTTCTCCCTTACAAGTTTCAAACAAAAACTCTAATCTTAGAAGAGGCTAACTTATTAGCTTCTATTAGAAGGTCCTAACTTCATTTCCTAGATAAAAGTCTAGGTTCATCTCTTAACAAGTTTCACTGAAAGGAGGAAGCCTTCCACAAATTCAAGAGTCAGAGAGCTCCTGACTCTCCCCACAATTCCTATTCAAATAAAATTCTTGAATTAGAAGTTACTTCTCTTACAGTGAAATTCAAATATATGCATTCAAAGGATTATACCCCTTTATGACCTAAACACTGTTGTTGTTGGGTTTTTCCCAAAACAAAATGTTGGGGTCAGAATACAGGAAAGTTTTGAATTTAAAGAAACCACTGCTCAGACCTAGGAAGCTAAGATAGTACACTGACTATTCTGCAACACACATTCCTTTATTTCAAATTCAAGAGCCGGGATCTTTAGTATTCAAAGAGAAATTCCTGCACTTTCACCCCAAAACCAGAGGTTAAAGTAATTGGTCACAAGGGATAAACCAGACACCTTAGAACCAAAACAAAACAAAACAAAAAACCTCTGAGCAGCTAAAGCAATAATCAGAGGACGTTACTAAATCCCAGCCACGGTAAGGGGAAAGGTATGTGTATGTATCAATGTATGTATGTTCATATGCAATATATACAAAACTTGTATATACTCATGCAGATAAAATGGTATTGCATATACATCTATCTATCTCTATATGATCCTTGTTTTCCTTAAAGACGAAGAGGATGATGTCTACCATTCTAGGTGACTCAGATCTAAAAATGTGTATAGGAGATTACACATGTAAACCGAGGAACTGATAACTCATCTTCTTCCCTACAAAAGAAAAGGTGTCCGTCGGGTGGCTCACCTTCTCCCAGCCTAAAAACCTCGAGAGTTCAACTATCCAGCTATTTCCAAGCTCAGAGATGCACTGGAACTTCCTTTTCCTGTCTAACTTCACCAAACGTCCCAGGAGCTACAGTCACGTGACTTTTCAGATCTTTAAGGGGAGAAAATAAAAAAACCACACTGAGAACACCTTAAAACTAACCTGTTTCACACTAGAGAGGGAAATACGAGCTCTACTTAAATACCTAGGCAAGGCATTTATGTAACGCGGAGGCAAATAAATGCACCCTTCGACTTTGGAGAGAGCCCACAGTAGATTTTTTTTTTCCTTTGAGCTATCTGTCCCTTTGAGCGGTCGGGTCCCTGTCCGTCTCCCTCAGTACCAAGGGCAGGGACTCTTGCAAGACCCCGCCCTCCCCCAGTTCCAAAGCGGGTGGGCGGGAGGTAGCCCGAGGAGTCCGGGTTCCCGCGCGAAGCTCAGAGACCAAAGCGCTCTCTATTGTGGGTCTTTGGACGGTGACGGGAACCCGTCCCGCTCCGGGCGCTGGCTGACGGAGTAAGCAGAGCATTTTACTAGGCCCGCACGGCTGCTACTGCCGCCATGGAGCCCATCGCTGTCACAGAACGACTGCACCCAGGAAGCGCGAGGGTGGCCCCAAGCCCTGTGCTCTCCCCAAGAGAATTCACGCCTCCCGATGTGTGAGAGGCTGGGGTCCTGGAGCCGTACCTCGGACACCTCGTCCTCGTCGCTGCCAGAGGCACCACCTCCACCTCCCGTCCTCAGCACGGCAGCCGCCAACTTGAAATCCAGCGCTGCGTCCCCTCCTCCAGCACCGCTGCTGCCGCCGCCACCGACTCCCGGCGCCGACCCGGCCTCCCCAAAGAGCCTCACAGTACGGATCCCCAACCCGACCCCTCCCGGCGGAGGCGGCTCCGAGGCCCCGGCTGGGGCGGATCGGGGAGCCACCGAGTCCAAGTCTTCCTCAAAGGAGGTGCCGCCGCCTCCGCCGTCAGTCAGCATGGTTCGCACGCGGAGCGGGAGATGCTGTGGAGATACTCGCGGCCACCGCCGCTGCTGATCCCGGGAAGGAGAGGAACAGCAGGAGGAAGAAGCTTCTCCTTTCCCCCCTCCCCCCTGTCCCAGCAGCGCCACTAACTTCTCACTGCCTAACCTGCTGCCTCCCGCCCCTTCGACTCTCCACTGGCTGCAACTCCCCGGCGGCTGTAGATCATTGGCCAAGGTGACCTGTCGCTCAGGCGCCCCGTCACGCGCCGCTCGCTGGCTCGCGGCCCCCAAGCTGCGTTGACCCGCGCAGGCCTAGGCGGTTGTGAACACCCGCCTTCTGCTCTCCACAAGCAGACTTCCGGTCTTTTTCTGTCTCTATTGGTCAACCTCTCTGACTAGCGCTTCACGACCTTAAAGTGGATTAGTTGGCCTTCTGGTCAGTCACAGTGACCCCTAACAATGGCAAACCCCATTGGCGCCGTCAAGTGTCCGTCACTTTGTCATAGGACGTCGCGTGGTACAATTGGCGGGTGAGGGTACTACTCATCCCGCCCCCATCTGGGAAAGGGCCGGGGAATTTCCACTTCTGAGTGTAAAATGAAGTCTAAAGTGGCGACCCACAAAAATTAATAAAATCTTGAGTAGACCTAACCCCGCGCTCAGTGAGTCTTGCGCTTCAAGGAGGTGAGAGGAGCCTAGGTAAAGCAGCTCCCACCTGTAGCTCCTAACCAAGCGACACGAATGTGGCCGGAAGTAGCTGCTTGGGGATTGGAGGAAAGAAGCAATCAGTCTCAGCGAGGCTCCACCTTCCTGCCATGACCTGGTTGGAGGACGGTGGCGTCAGTCATCATAGCAGTCGCCACCTCAGAGACAGGTGAGGTTTGTTAAACCCACCCGTCTAGCTACTGGCTGTTTGGGCGGGAGTTGGGGGAAACGAGGGGGTGGGGGGAACCTGAGTTGTGAGAAGGCGTAAAAGGGGCTGGGCTGATCTTGCTAGGCGCCTCCCGCCTTTCCAAATACAGCCCTGCTAGTGGAGCTGAGGCAACCCGGAAAGCATTTTGGGATGACCGCCCTGAGGCCACTCGTCCCGCCCGCGTGCCAGGACGAGTCCCGGCGCGCCTTGGGGCGGGGATGGCCCCCTCGGGGCTGCGCTCTCTTGCGGGTGAAAGGCGGCGGGCCCGCTGGCTGGACAGCGCCATCCCTCAGTACTGGGAACTGTCCCGCGAAGGAAAAGTCGGAAGGCGCGTGGAATCCTCCCGCAGTGCTGAACGCAGCTGAGAGAGCTTTCGCCGGGAGGCGGGGGGGGGGGGGGGGGGGGGGGAGGGAGAGAATGGTGGAGAAGAGGGGCAGCGCCTTGCCACGATCTCACAAGTGTTG